AGTAACTTTTCATCCAGACATGTATATACATAAACTTCACACTGAATTATAATGTGTGTCTGATTTTTTCACAAAAATCCACATCACACTAATGAACCACAACTGGCTTCTAAATGAGACTTGAAACAACATCAGATATCTGCCACACAAGACACGTCTTTGTCCTTAGAACAACGTCCACGTGCACTGATGACTTGACGCTGGTCCGTATCTGTTACTCACTGCTGTTCTTTCAGAGTCAGAAAGGCTGAGTCATGTTACTGGTTGTCTGCAACATACCCAGTACTGCCCACAGTCACTCCTCCATCAATAGTGACACAGCTGTATAAGTAAAAAAACACTGCTTCCAAAATCATTTTTGAAAAAAAAAAAACCCCACCAACTCTAAGACTGCAGCAACAGAGACATGACATGCAGAGCACTCACAATAGCACATGACGCTCGGCATCACATCCATTAATTTTTCACAGTATTTGAAGTAAATGAGCGTTAATGTCATGAGGCTTACAGAGCACACTGTAAGAAAAGAAAAGAAAGAAGCATAACTAAGCTGAGCTGATCACTGCCTCTGACAACCTGAAAACAGCTGGATTTGTTCTGCAGGGAAAACCAGAAGCATGACTGCAATTAAGGGTCATTCATTTGCTCATTTCAAGGGTTTGTCTCTCAAGATTTTGCCTTGATAAATTAATAAATACTGGCAAACCACTGGCATCATGAGACAAGCGAGCACAATAATTGTGACTTCTCCTTTTAGAGAGTTTAAGTCATGGTTTAGTTGTTTTGTTTCCTCTTTTTTCTTCTGAATTTGCTTCCTGAAATAAACTTAAAAGAAACTACAGACTGTTAGTGATTGTGCATTGACAAAGGGGGATTTAGCAGCATTAGTTTAATACGCTACTCATTACTTTATTATTACCTAGATTTAAAGTAAATATGTGAATTCAGAACACCATTCATGCCGTCTTATTTTTATCAAACTCTTCCAGATTTACCATTTTTTTTAAACTTTATAATCAGGTATGTTTGCTGCCATGGAGGGAGAGAAAAAATCTGCACTAGGGCTGAAACAATTACTTAATTAACCAATTATTAAACTATTTTGATCACAGATTAATCAATTCTGACATTTATCAACCAAAAAATGTCAATCAATCATTAAACTGGGACTATTTGATGTCACCATGGACTCTGAGAGACTGTGATGGTCTATCTTCCACTATTTTCTGACATTTAATCTATTAAATAAATAAAACAATACCAGACTAATCAACAGAATAATCGATCAGCTGTAGTTTGCACGCACGCACACACACACACACACGCACACACGCGCGCACACACACACACACACACACACACACACACACACACACACACCACACTGGGGGGGAGGTGGCTGTAATCAATACAACGTGACTGTCCGATAATAGACCATCCTGTCTATACTGACCCTCTTTCCATTCAAAGCCTACTGCTGTCACCCTACATCTACACAGTGCGCTCTGCCTGACTTAAAATGGAGAATGTTTTGGTTGTTAACGTACAAATAAAGTTTTTTTTTTTAATGACCGCAAGATAAATACGAGCTCCAACCGCTCACCTTGCGTGACTTCAACCGGCCTCCTCCTCCGGCTGGTCGTGTCCGAGCCCGGCGTGGATGACAGAGACATCTCCGCCGGTTAAAAAAAATAAACAAAAACACACCTCACCGTAAATTAAAAAGTCTTCCTATGAGCCGCTCACATCTCCACTGAACAGACGCCACCGTCGCTCCGCTGCTGCGACGACGACGCGCTGATTCACGGAGAATTAAGACCGCTTGGAATTGTGGGAAATGTAGGCCACCAATGGTCGAGCTCCTCTAAAAGGAAAAACCCCCGCTCGACAACCCCAATGTAAAACCCCTAATACCGCTAGTTATAAATTTTCCTCCATGACTGGAATTAGCTTCTGCCTTTTTTTATGTTGGATAGCAAATTAAATAATATGTTTTATTATTATTATTATTTATAATTTACACCTAAAAACTACACCTAATCTAAAACCTCAATTAAAAGCAGGGTCCACATTTAAACGCTGGATTTTGTAGATTCTGAGCTAACCAAAGTATCAAATTATCAAATTAATGATTCGTCCTAATTTCTATAGCTACAAGTACTATTGATACTGGTTTAAATAAACTGAATTAAAGACCAGTCCCATATAGAGGCCTGTCCCAAATAAAGGCAGGTTGAGTTCAGTGATTAAATAAAAGCCCCGGCTTTTATTTGAAGTATTTCAACGGCAGGAAACAGACAGGTTAACAGGACTTGGCTTGCGTTAGCTTTGCAGTTGACTGTTTGGTTGGTTTGGTTTTCTTTGGACTGTGTCCGGCATATAAAATCTTATATGTCAAAATAAATCTGTTTCCGGTCTTAATTACATTTTGACTAAATATTCAATTACTGCATTTTGGCTTTGTTGGGCAGTATAGTGAGCTGTTAAAAATGTGTTGTTTTAGACTACAGTGGTGGACGGTTTATTATTTTAGTGCTGAGGACTCAAACCACACACAATCGCCTTTAAACAGGTCTTTAAAGCAAAACTGTATCTTTAAATTGAAGGGAAATTCACTGTAATGCTGCGACTACTATTGTAGCTTAAAAGGCATCTGTTAGAATCAGAATCAGAAATACTTTAATAATCCCAGGGGAAAATTCTTTTTGTTTCAAACTCCAGACATACAAACAACATATATAACTATGTATATATAAAAGATAAAATGTACAGTTTAATAATGTGTTTGTGAGACATTGTCCAAGATGGACTGAAGCCTGGACAGCATCCTCCTCTCTGCCACGGTCGTCAGTGTCCATCTGCTCCCCTACGACATCACCGGCCCTCCTGATCAGTGTGTTTAGTCTGTTGTTGTCAGCGACCCTCAGCCCACTGCCCCAGCATGTGACAGCGAAGAAGATCGCACTGGCCACAACAGACTCATAAAACATCCTCAGCACCGTCCGGCAGATGTTAGAGGACCTCAGCCTCCTCAGGAAAAAGAGTCGGCTTTGGCCCTTCTTGTAGACCGCCTCTGTGTTTCTGGTCCAGTCCAACTTATTATTAAAGTACAACCCCAGGTACTTATACTCCTCTACAGTGTCCACAGTCTGGATGGAAACAGGGGTCACTGGTGATTTCGCCCCTCTCAGATTCACTATGAGCTCCTTTGTCTTTGTCACATTGAGCTGCAGATGGTTCAGCTCACTCCAAGTTGCCCACAACAGTCCTGTATTCATTCTCAACACCCTTTTCAATACAACCAACTATTGCTGAGTCATCAGAAAACTTCTGAAGTTGGCAGGACTCGGTGCAATAGTTGAAGTCTGAGGTGAAGAGGGTGAAGAGGAAGGGAGAGAGGACAGTCCTCTGTGGGGCCCCAGTGTTGCTGACCACCCTGTCAGACACACAGTTCTGTAGGCGTACGTAATGTGGTCTGCCCATCAGGTAATCAACAATCCAGGACACGATGGGGGCCTCCACCTGCATCGCAGCCATCTTCTCACCCAGTAGAGCCGGATGGATGGTGTTGAAAGCACTGGAGAAGTCAAAGAACATGACTCTCACAGTGCTCGCCGGCTTGTCCAGATGAGTATAGACTCTGTTCAGCAGGTAGATGATGCCATCCTCAACTCCCAGGCGGGGCTGGTAGGCGAACTGTAGTGGATCAGTTAAAGGCCTGACCATAGGCCTTAGCTGCTCCAGGACGAGCCTCTTCAGGGTCTTCATAATGTGGGACATCAGAGCCACCGGTCTGTAGTCCTGAGGGCCGCTTAAGCAAAGGTTACATAGTCTTTAAGTAGAATTATACAGAATTAGTTTGATTGATTAGTTTGTTTACACAAAGCAACCTTTTTGAGAAAGGCTTCTAAAGAAAACAACATTTTGTACCTGCTGTGGTCTTTAAATGTGCTTTATAAATACATTTTATTTGATTAACCATAATTTAAGTGAAGAGGGTCTTGTTGGAATGGCATATTAGTTTAGAAAAAGTTTAAAATATCATACTGGACAATTTGCACAGAACGTAGAAATAAGCTTGGCTCAAAGTATACAAACACTCAAGTGACCGCTACATGAGTAATATTTTATTCAAGTAAACAATTTTCTATACAGTGCACTGTCCACACCTGATTTTAGAAGAACCTATTAAACCAGTTATAGTTGGAGATGTTTGTTATTGGCAGACTTCCCTACATTAACCACTGAAATCTCTCTAATCAAGTGGGTTCACAGCATGTGAATTAGATTGCACAAAGTGCTCCTAAAATGGACATTCCTAAAACCTAACTACTTGTCTGAGCTGGGCATTTTGGATACTTCATTGGCGCTGCAAGAACTCAGCTTGGGTTCTTTCCATTAGTTTGTTCCATTAATAATAGTGAAAACAACATCTAGCAGGCTGAAGGAAGGCTCAGTAAAATTACATTTAGTACACAGTCGCAGCCATCTTCATTGTAAATGTTCTGCTTGCAGCACTGACCTAACTATTACAGTTTTGCATGTACGGCAAAACCTAGTTCCAGATTCCGAGGAAAGGGCTCTACATGTCGCCTGTCTTGTGGTTTGTCCTCAGTCTCTGTGACATCTAAACCTTTGACTCTTGAGTTATTGGTGTAAGACAAATTTCCAGCTAAACCAAATCAAAATCCTGTACATTGTGCACCAGCAAAATAAACATTTGGTAACAAATAAAGCCTGAGGCCACAAAGACCTTTAATAAAGGTTTTTGTGACCCAAATGTTGGACTTGTCAATAAATACTTTAATGTCAAACCACCCCAGTGACCTGATCTGTTAGGACACGTGTCCCATCTCCATGACCCACCCATACAACTGATCTTGTGAACTTACTAAATGGCTTATCCAGCTGAATAATGTAAAAAAAAAAAAAACAACATTACACAATACACCCCTGAAGCTTTTAACTGGCTATTGAAAGGATAGGAAGCTGTGATTGGTTGTGATTTGGCCTCAGAGGCAGGGTTTCAAGTCTGGTCACATATAAATGTGGCAGCACACTGAAGGTGCGCACTTGGTGACTCTTCAGGTCAAACTGCTGTTAACCATGGCAAAGTGCTGGAGTGCCGCGTCTTTAGTGGCACTAGCACTGCTAGGATGCTTCGTTGGGACAGAGGTAGGAGCTCAGGAGTCATCCTGGCAGAAGCCTGTACCACAGGTTTCTCCACCGTATCCTCAATACCCTCAAACGCCACAGGTCCTTCCTCCTACACCGCCGAAGGTTCCTCAATACCCTCAAACGCCACAGGTCCGACCTCCTACACCGCCGAAGGTTCCTCAATACCCTCAACCGCCACAGGTCCTTCCTCCTACACCGCCGAAGGTTCCTCAATACCCTCAACCGCCACAGGTCCGACCTCCTACACCGCCGAAGGTTCCTCAATACCCTCAACCGCCACAGGTCCGACCTCCTACACCGCCGAAGGGTCCTCAATACCCTCAACCGCCACAGGTCCGACCTCCTACACCGCCGAAGGTTCCTCAATACCCTCAACCGCCACAGGTCCTTCCTCCTACACCGCCGAAGGTTCCTCAATACCCTGCAACGCCGCAGGTCTCTCCACCGTATCCTCAGTATCCTCAAACGCCACAGGTTTCTCCACCGTATCCTCAGTATGATCCAACACCACAGGTTTCTCCACCGTATCCTCAATACCCTAAAACGCCGCCGGTTCAACCTCCTACATCGCCGAAGGTTCCTCAATACCCTAAAATGCCGCCGGTCCAACCTCCTTCACCACCGAAGGTTCCTCAATACCCTCAAACGCCACAGGTTTCTCCACCGTATCCACAATACCCTAAAACGCCGCAGGTTTCTCCACCGTATCCTCAGTATGATCCAACACCACAGGTTTCTCCACCGTATCCTCAATACCCTAAAACGCCGCCGGTTCAACCTCCTACATCGCCGAAGGTTCCTCAATACCCTAAAACGCCGCCGGTTCAACCTCCTACACCGCCAAAGGTTCCTCAATACCCTCAAACGCCACAGGTTTCTCCACCATATCCTCAGTACCCTAAAACGCCACAGGTTTCTCCACCGTATCCTCAATACCCTAAAACGCCGCCGGTTCAACCTCCTTCACCACCGAAGGTTCCTCTGTACCCTAAACAGCCACAGATCAAAATTCCTCCACGACCACAGGTTCCTCAACATCGTAAATCACCAAAGTTTCCTGCATATCCTCGAGGACTTTACTCTCCCCAAGAGCCACAGCAACCACAGCATCCCCAAGAGCCACAGCAACCACAGACCAGTGAGCCAAAGCAGCCTTCTTACCAAAGTTGTGAGGTGACAGCAGGCCAGAGAGTCCCATGTGGAGGCTCTGGTATTTCTGCTGCTGCATGTGAAGCGATTGGCTGCTGCTTTGATGGCCGACAGTGTTACTTTGGAAAAGCAGGTGGGTTTTTGTTGAGGTAGTTATTGTTTGCCAAAGAGGAAATAGGGTTGCAAATAAAGTAGCTTTTGTCTCCTGTATCTTTGTTTATATTTTGTTAAAAAATATGATGGCACAGCTGCATCCTAAGTAAACGCTCAAATAGTTCCTCAAATGACTGTGGACTTATTACATTGTCTTTGGTCGACAAAATGAGATCTTTTAACCCTTCAATGCCTGTTTTTGTGCCACCAGTGACTGTCCAGTGCACCAAGGATGCCCAGTTCATTGTGGTAGTGGCCAAAGATGCGACTCTGCCCAACATTGACCTCGAGTCAATCTCACTGTTGGGACAAGGTTATGGCTGTACACATATCGACTCTAATTCAGAATTTGCCATCTACCAGTTTCCTGTAACTGCCTGTGGCTCTGTTGTTATGGTAAGACCTTGATTGTTTTCTATTTTACAACCAATAAAGACAACTTTAAAAGACTGACAATTTTTTTCACCTTTTTTCACCTTTTGTAGGAGGAGCCTGGTGTTATAATCTACGAGAACAGGATTACCTCCACATTCGAAATTGATGCTGGGCCTCTTGGAGTCATTACCAGGGACAGCCACTATGAGTAGGTGATCCTCTTCTTAAAGATGTTTGTAGTGTCAAGACAAAAGTTGACCTAGACACATAATGCTAGTTCTCTTTTTCAGCTTGCTCTTCCAGTGTAGATACATCGGAACCTCTGTTGAAACTTTGGTTGTAGAGGTGTTACCATTAGATAATCCTCCTCTACCAGTTGCTGCTCTGGGACCCATCAGAGTGCACCTGAGGTTGGCTAACGGACAATGCAGTACAAAGGGTTGTAATGAAGGTAAGTGTATGTTAGCCTGGCAGCAGATGATTTCATAATGTTGACTGTCTACAGACTAACTAGGATCTCTGCTCTCACAGTGGATGTGGCCTATACCTCTTACTATACGGATACAGATTATCCTGTAACCAAAATACTGAGGGACCCTGTGTACGTGGAGGTTCAACTCCTTGAAAAGACAGATCCACTCCTTGTCCTGACTCTTGGTCGCTGTTGGACAACCACAAGCCCCAACCCTCACAGTCTGCCACAGTGGGACATTCTAATAGACGGGTAACTAAAACACCAATTTAGTTTACACCCCTGTCAAGTCTACTCACTAGTAATAGTGAATAGAGAAATTAATGCTATGATAATGTTGATTTTTAAATTTGTTTTAATTTCAGTGTCATTGCCTTAACCTAATTTGCTCTCCTTCCAGGTGTCCATACAGGGATGATCGCTACTTGTCCGCAGTGGTTCCTGTTGATTACTCCTCTCCTCTGCTGGAATTCCCGAGCCACTACAGCCGATTCATTTTCAAAATGTTTACCTTTGTGGACCCCAATTCCATGGAACCCCTGAGGGAACAGGTAATAAATATATCCACTTATGAGAAACTGCTGTAGCAAAATATAGTTTTGCATTACTCTGCCAACACTGCTCATTCCTTGCCCAGGTGTACATTCACTGCAGTACATCTGTTTGTGCTGCTGCACCGGGTCGCAACTGTGGACCATCATGCCAAAGACAAAGTAAGAGATGAATTTATAATCTACATAATTCAGGAGCAATATGTACTTGAATCTGACCATGTTTGTGTGTCTGTCTGCAGAGAGAGATGTCGAGGCTGTGAACCAGGAGACATCTGGGCCAAAGGTTGTGGCTTCTGTTGGACCTGTGGTTATGGTCGCACCTGAGCAGTAAACAGCACAGTGCCAAGCTCAAGAATTTGGTTGAGAACATTCAGTAATAGATTTGAAACATTAACATGGTTCGGTATTAGTGGTAAAAGAAAATTACCATGTAGAGTACTTATTTGTAGTGATTGCGAAAAGACAAGTAAAGAGCCAACGATGTGCTGCAGGACGTTTGCATTCAATAAAACTGTCTGTGATATGCTCATCTTATAAAGAACACCTTTTCAATTTAATACAATTTTGTTGACATTGTGTCAGCCAGGTGCCGATTTAACTGGTAATGTCTGAGGCTGTATGCAGTTGCTGCGTTTTATTGGATTACATTATATTAAAAGTGCTTCTATTGTTTTGTTAGCCCTCATTTATGTGAACACAATATTAGAAACATTTCTCATCATAATTAAATTCAGCACAATACCACAACTAACTACAGCAAAAACAATAACCACATGGTTAAATTAACTCCTGTGTGTCATTTTTCTCTCTCTCAACAACAACAAAAAAGACATTGAATATAGTATTGGATTGGACTGCACAGGAGTACCTTATTATTGGAAAATCAGGGGTATTCCAAAATGCAATTAAAAGATTAAAAAGCAGTTGTTCAAACCCACAGAAGATACAACAGATGGGCTGAAACTGTAGTGTATGGCCTTTTGAAACTTTTTTTCCAGAATTTCTGACATTCCAATAAACATGGACTTTTGGTACTAATACTGAATTTTGTTTATAGTAATGTTTCCAAAAAATAATAAAAGATGTAACTACAAGAAGTTGTGATTTTTGTCTTACTGTCTACTGTAAGTTACTCATAAGTGTTATTTTGGACCTAACTGAGATTTAAATCCTTAAAATGAAATATTTTTACATCTCACCAGGGTGTATAGGCAGTATTTGTCAGCAAACACACAAAGTAGTACAGTGATCGAGGACCCTTTAAGCAATATAGTAGTACCACTATGTAAAATACAATACAAAAGTCCTGCATTTGAATTTGTACTTTTACTAGTAAAAATAGAGAGTATTAGCAGCAAAATGCAGGTAAAATTGTCAAAAGTAAAATGGCACATTATAAAGAAGTCCTCCTTTGTGGGTTAATGTGTAAAAGAGTGGGTAATTAAATCTTTCAGCTTCATATTTATTGGCTTATCATATATTATCTATGTAAGATATTAATCTGTGGAGCGTGTAGAAATATGCTGCTGTAGCACAAAATAGAAACACTTAAAGTATAAATGCACCACTGAGCAAATGTACTTAATTTCCAGTTACTTTCCACCTCTGATCCTGTGTAGGGTAGTGAAGGAAGGATCTCATTATTTCTTTAATTACTAACTCTCTGTGGAGAAGCTCCATGATTTGTTCTGACAAGTCATGTCACATGACCACTACAATCAGTCTGTTTGTTCAGTCTTGGGAGAGTTCTTTAAAGTCACAAGTTCAAAGAGAGATGTGTAACTATGTAGAAATAACGTCTATAATACAATAAAGTATGATAATAATAATGTGAATTTTATTTTACTGTAATGCTAAAGAGGTTCATTTTCCTAAAGAAATGAGATCTGCTACAAGAATGATTTCAGAAAATGGGTCAATATTGCAAAACTAGAATAATTTCCCACTGATTGTTTTAATCAGCAGTTTAAAGACTCCCTACAAGAGTTCAAATTCTAATTATTAAACAGGTATAATCACTGCTATTTTAAAGACTCTGTACGTTCAATGAGCACACCACTGAGTTGAGATATTTACAGTTTTGCTAAAGTGAAGTTTATCACTGGAGATTTGGTGAGAAGGAAGCTGTAATCCCAACAGTGAAAACTATTACAATCCTATGGTTGCAGCCACGAACCCCAAACGTGAAACACTGACAACAAAAGGTGAATGAGCTATTTATTTTTGGAAAGTTGACAGCAAAAATACAGCTAGAAATCGACATTTTCATAGATATATGCTCATCTGTGTTCTTTTTTCAATTAATATTCTATTGTTTGCTTAATATTCTCTTCAGTTATATTGTTTTTATTTGTTTCGCATTAATGTCTATTCCATGAAATGCACACATAAAGTCCTGTAAGAAAATGAGGATATGCTAATTTATTGATTGATAGACTGTATTTGTATGGCACAAATAAAAAACAACAAAAAAAGTGGACTCCCAAGTTCAGCTCCTCAAAGGAATTGCAGTAAACTAACCAACTATGAAGGCATGGAGTGTTTCTACACTGTTACTGTTACATATGAGTAAAACTAAGTGAGGGAGGTTATTAGTTTGCATCATGTGGATAATAGCGATCTTAGAACACAAGAGATTATCGTTTGCACACATTAAATCATTCTAATAATTTGTCTACAAAATTAAAATAAAAAGGTAAATCTTTTTCTGTTACCACGCAGTGAAATATTCAGATTTTAAGCAATAAAGACTGGTTATAGAGGTGAGGTTTTCAAATTCAGTCAGTAAAAACATCACACTATCATCATTATTACCTATGTCAGTGTATGGCAGAGATAATTAGATAATAAAAGACTCATCATGTTATCTACTGCAATAATTATACTGTATAGAGTCATATCTAAAAGTCTTTCTAGACTTACAAATATATTTATGCTGACATGAACCTTCGCAGTCTTGCAGTGGATTTAAAGATCTCTGTTTAGGAGACTGCAGCATGGTTGTGTTTAAATAATGGTAATATGAGTGAATATGTTTATAATAGGAAACAGCAGCGACACATAGACAGACCTAGTTTGGGCTGAAGTGCATGATATGGCAAACTTTGTTGAAGATTCAGAGGAAAGATCAATAAGGGTTTCTATGGTGCACTAACAAAATAAACATTTGGTAACAAATAAAGCCTGAGGCCACAAAGACCTTTAATAAAGGTTTTTGTGACCCAAATGTTGGACTTGTCAATAAATACTTTAATGTCAAACCACCCCAGTGACCTGATCTGTTAGGACACGTGTCCCATCTCCATGACCCACCCATACAACTGATCTTGTGAACTTACTAAATGGCTTATCCAGCTGAATAATGTAAAAAAAAACAACATTACGTAATACACCCCTGAAGCTTTTAACTGGCTATTGAAAGGATAGGAAGCTGTGATTGGTTGTGATTTGGCCTCAGAGGCAGGGTTTCAAGTCTAGTCACATATAAATGTGGCAGCACACTGAAGGTGCGCACTTGGTGGCTCTTCAGGTCAAACTGTTGTTAACCAAAGTGCTGCTAGGATGCTTCGTTGGGACAGAGGTAGGAGCTCAGATGACAAAGGGATCTCCAGCTCCTCAGGAACCACAGGTTTCTCCACCGTATCCTCAATACCCTCCAACGCCACAGGTCCGACCTCCTACACTGCCTGATTGATTAAGATTGATTGAGATTATGAGAAGTGTATATTGTCTAAAGAGCCAAAAGTGTACTGTAGTCAAATATGTAGCTTTTAAAAATATTGGCTTTGATGTGATGTGAATACTTTGATTATGTTTGTGAATACTGTATATTTTTCACGGTCGGCTATTGGCAGTAATATTTAACTTATGGTTTTTAAAAGGACGCTTTTAAAGTAAAATAAACCTTTCAAGAAATATTGACAGTGAATGAGAAACTTTTCCATTTTACCTAAATGTCTTAATGTGACCTCAGAGAAGGTGATCTCAAAAAATGTATGTAATCAATACTGTATCTGTGTCACCTTGATCAATAGACATACCCATTATTTATCAGACTTACACTGTCCTAATGAAATCCAACCACTCTTGGATAAAGCTTTATCATGTGAGGGGCTATATCCTTATTTTTTTAAGTTAAATGTAAGTTCTACTCTTCTGTTTTTTAGTTTTAATTGTATTTAATATTTGAATTATGTATGAATGCAACAATGGTGCATCACTATTTCAGTATTCTATATACAGCATCTCAAAGATGTCATCCACTGTGCACATCTATATTTAATTTAATAGTTAATTCAAACTTTTTGGGGTAGAAAATAACTTCTTTCCTGACTGATGACTGATGCAGAGCTTGTTTGTGTAGTTTTATATTCACAGATCAGAGCATTACGGTTATATAGTTAATGAACTAAAGAGCATGATAACATCTCTATGGTAGAAGGTCTTATAACAACCAAGATACACAGAGATATACAGAAACCCCCCCACGTTTCCTAGGCCCTACTAATGCACCGACAGTTTTAACATTAGGACCGCTTTAGTCTTAAGGTTTATAGACATTAAATGTTTCACGAACACAATACATAGACAACCTTCAGCATGTTTTATTTAAAACAAGTCCTGAATATATCATTGCCACGTTTCAATAAATTCTCATCAAACAGCAAACTTCCAAACATTCTGCAACACTGATAAAAGCTTTGAAACCTTTGTTTTCGTACAAGGCTTGAAAGTAATTTTATACTACAGGTAGATTTACAGAAATGTTTACTTAAATGTCTTATTAATGTCAGCTTAAAAATGATCGAGTCCAGCCATCAGAAAACACAGTAAACACAGTGGCCCCTGTGGAATATGGAAAAGCATTATTTGAGAACTAATCATTAATGCTATTATAAAGCTTCTGTGTCCAAAAGTGACAGCTTTATTTTTTACCCAAGGAAAAATGTTACATATCTCACAGAGAGTGACCTTTACCAACACGTCACAGTAACTATCAAAATATAGATTTAGTCAAAAATAAGTGTAATGTATAAAATCAAATCAACAAAATACTCTGACTTTTTTTTTATATTATGACAAAGAATTTTAGCAAGAAATCTGATTATGTATCAAAAGCACTAGTTAGTTGCCTTCCAGTGATCTTGAGAATACAACCACCAGAGGGCGACTTCAGAGGAAAAACTGTCACATTAGTTCAGTGAAATATTCAGCACGTGGTTGAGATATATTACATTGGACTGTTTAAATCACGCCTTTGATCAGACATCAGGAAGGTGATTTTTATAACACTTTACACATTTTCTGACCAACGTTTCTCCGTCGCCAGTCCAATACCTCCAAGCAACATAACTCCTAGTCAGTTATAGATTGTCTCGCGGGTGGAAGTTTAAGTGCATTTACTTCTCTCTTTGACACTGTTGTGACAAATAATGTAACAGCTGTCACAGCAGTGAAAAACAGTGTTGTGGCTTATTATCAAAAAATGAAACATGGACATTTTATTTGAACAATTTCAGGCACGTGTGATAATATTTTGGTGAGTTTTACTTTAAGCAACATAGCAGAAGAGTCTTTGTTAGTTCTTGCTTTGCAGGGTCCTTGAACGTGGGTTTACCAATAAAAATAACAGAAAACTAAAGCAAAAAAAAAAAAAAAAAACCCCTCACCAAAATGTGTACACTAAACCTTTTTGAGTCCTGTGTTGCTCTTTTCCTGCTCACCGATGTAAAAAAACAGGCAAACACGTCGAGCCATACATCTCATCTGCGTGCGTTCACGCTCTTCCTCTCCTCCGCCGTCAGTCAGACTTGTCTTTCTTTTTGGCTCCTCCTACGGGAACTTTGCTGACCACCGCAGAGCCGACAGCAGTCACTCCTCCAGCTACGGCACACACGCCTCCTTTAACCAGCCCCACTCCGATCCCAGGCACAGCGGCTACAGAGCAGACGGCAGTCTTGGTGAGGTCCAGACTCTTTCCTCCTATCCAGGTCACGCCGCCCACGGTTGCTCCTAAAGCTCCCTTGGTGGCGCCGTACAAGCCCCCCGCCAACCTGCCCAACATGCCCGGCTGCGTCTGTGGGTGGTCCTTGTTGTTGTCTGGTTTAAAAACAACAAGAGCAACGTTTTAAGATTCAATATGTGTCACTGCCAAATAACAAAGAATAAAACAGGGTTCCCACTCTTTTTAGGGATTCATTTTCCAGGAACTTTCCAGGAGTTTTTTTCTTGACAATGCAGGACAGTTCTTGCTCATTTATCTGTGGTTCATTACAGGTAGGTGTTTAGCATTCATGACTGATCTCACCAAGCTGTAGTCTCCAGTGAATTGGCAATATTTTACTACAGTTTTCCTCTAATCGTAACCTTAAATTTGTTAAGTTACTAACTAAATAAGCTCCTTGGTTTAAGCTAAAATACAATTACATAACATATATTTTTCCTAGATCTAGGTCATTTTAGTCCATTTCCAAGACAACAAGAGCAACATTTAAAGATTCAATATGTCACTGCCAAATAACAAATAATAAGACTGGAAAACTAGTCCCTAAGTTTCCAGGTTTTCCAGGACACGTAGGAATCCTGTAAGAGGACAAAAAAATGCTCCAAACTAGGGCTGCAATTACCGATTATTTACAAAATTAATCAACATAATAATTTACTAAATTCGAATATTGTTTGGTCTGTAAACATCAGAAAATAGGTATGATTTCATTAGTGTATAATGACCTGAATATAGGAATTGTTTTTGCAAGCGTTGCTCAGTTAGTTGCAATCTGAAACTTCACTGCTTCAATGCCACTAACATCCTACCCACTGGTTCTTTAAATGACTATATTTAGTATACTGTAATGTAAGACGAGAAAAAGTTGTGAATTCTCACATTTAAGCTGCTGGACCCGTAAAACGTGGCATTTTTCTTGAAAGATTACTTTATTAATCTAATATCAAAATAGTTGCCCATTCATTTTCTGCAGACTGACTTATCAATAAATAATTTCAGGCTTACTCCAAACATCCTGCATCCCCACAGTGGATTTGTACACAAGACTCATCACTTCAATCACTTATTTTATCAAACAAATAGTCAAGATATTCAGTTTATAACTGTTTGAGTTTATTGAATTCACATGAAATACTTTAAAACGATCCTGTGTCTAACATTTAGGAGGATCTACTGGCAGTAATTAAATATAATATTCATATGCATGTTTTCATTACCTTAGTTTCTCCTACACACTTCACAGCCTGTTCTCATTCCCACGTCATCAAATACTGATGCGAGTGGTGTTCAGTTAGTAACTTCCCCGCTAGATGCCACTAAAACCTACACACTGGTCCTTTAAAATGTCTTTTGGTAAACAACAACTCTGCCTCATGGGAACGCCAACCTTTAGAATCTGAACATATTAAGTTAACCATTATAGTAGCTGATTGGTGCAGAAATAAATCTTTATGTACAATACAGCATCCTTATTTCTATATAATCTGTCCCACAACGCCACAGCACCCAGTACCTCCCACCCACGCTGACTAAGACTGTTTAATTCAAACAAACTTATATTATTTATCTTAAATTGCACATGTACAGCTTAGTTTTTTAGTCAAGCTGCTTGAAAAAATTATAAATTGCACACCATTGTACTTGCACATTGCATATAGTGTATATTTTTCAGTTATAGTTTGATATTTCTATTATAATTTGTAATATTCTTAATTGTGATAAGATTGTATTTGTACACTGAAGTCTTTTTATTGCACTATATTCCCCAATGCTGCTGTGTGTCACTTATATTTCTCCCACGGCGGATTAATAAAAGGTACATCTTATCTTATTGAGTTCTTTGACTAAAAAAACAATAATAAACTAAAACCCTTGAACACGTTGGCGTGACAAAACAGAAATTCCTAATTGCCAAACGCACATTTAGCAACTAAAACTTACCTGAAGCTACTGTCTCATCGTTGAGGTATGCAGTCACGTCCTCAGGCTCCTGCTCCGCCTGACTCATCTCTCTGGGAAGATAAATAAATGACACAATAACCATAAGAGACACACAATAAACACAGATTTATGAGGGTATATTCAGTAGTTTCTGTAATGATGTAAACCCCGTCTGAGATCTGTGTCTGTGCTTGTTGTTGCACAGTTTATTCCTGTCCTTGTATGTATGTATGCCTTGTATGTTAAAGAGGGCAGCTGCAGAAACAAGTACAACAACAAAAACAAAATGTTTATTATAAAGTGTCAGTCGTGCTTTAACTGAATGTATATATAGTAAGCACACAGTTCACTAAAGATAATAAAAGGAGCTTGCTTTGGGTGTGCTGCGGATCCTAAAACAAGGCAGACCAGTTCACAGTCTGCCAGAGCTGCACAACAAGTTATAATAGTAGACAAGAGTTTATAAACTTTCTAAACTGCGGAAACATCAAATGTTTATTGTTGAAGTAGCATTAATGTCTTCTGGACTTTGAACATAAGCTGGCAGGTTAAAATAATGACCTCCATATTCTTAAAAGTAGACTTTTAAAGTACCTCACCTGGCACCTACAGTGCTTTAGGCCTCGTCAATGATGTGTTCAAAGGTTGTAGAAAATATGCCCACACAAAGGCGTTATTCAGCCATTAAGCACCATGTTACTTCACATTACGTGTTTGCCAGCTGTGGTGACATTTAACTGATGGGTAAACAACATTATCACCCTCTGTATCCTGGTACAGTTTCACATTAAATACACTAATAGGAGAATAGGAGTAGTTAAAGCTAAAGGCTTAACTCAACCTGTATGTTTTCGTAACGGCTGACGCTTACGTAAACTATACGTTAACGTAAAGGCACGTTAAAAGGTTTTTTTTAAGTTAAAAGATTCGTGTACATTTTAGCGCTAACTTGTCGACGCTGTTGACTCACTTTTTAACCAAAAAAAGAATAATAATAATTTAAAAAATGCTTGTTTGTTTGGACTTTGTAGCCCTTGTGTGGCTGTTTTAGCCTTCAGACGCCATAAGTTAGGCTAACGTTTGCCTGTTTTGACGATGTTTCTAAACGTTACATGAGACGTCCATACAGACACGTCACCGCCGACGCACAGCAACGGTTTCCAACGGTTATCGGTGGTTTATAAGTAATTCGGCCCAAACCGTCCGCCTAACGGTCGAGGGAGTTTGAAGACAATATGGCTCACCTTTTCTTTTTTTTTTTTTTTTTTAATAATCCTAACTAACGCTAGCGACAACTTCTCACGGCCGACACTCAAACTGATCCCCAACCAGCTAATTTACCACTTACCTTGCTATTTTCAGATAATGTTCAGCTTCCACGGGCCTGTGAGGATGAACGGTTAATAGTTAGCTGCTGCTGGTGAAGCTGACTTGTGTTTGTCTGATATATTTTTTTTTTTTTTGGGGAGGAGGATCTCTGGTCTCCACCCATTAAAAACACACAGAGGTACATACTGTCCGCAGGCTGGAGCTCCAGCTGCTGGCTGCGTTTACTAGACATAAAAAACAAAACAAGAAGCCACTACTTTAAAAAGTAGTTATTGCAGCCTGGGTAGTGAGATTGTCGGTCAGTGTTTTAAAGCACTCTTTGGCGCACACACACATGGAGAATTTTCAAATTAAGATATATATATTTTTTTTAGATGTTTTGGTGATAAATTAGGAACACACGTATCGTTTTGCTGTTTGGGTAAGTTACACCTCTGTTGGGGACATAAATTATTATTTGATAGTTTATTTTGTGTGGACTGTAACTTTGGCGGGAGAGGGTACTGATACAAATAAAACTCCCATAAAAACAACTTCCGTCCCTCGAAGCGGAAGTGACGTGTTTTCTCTTTGTTTCCCGCCAAAGATCGTCTCTGTTAGACAGAGATGTCACATCCGAGTGGATAAAAAAAACAAAAACAAAAACAGCACACCTGAATCAAATACCTATAAAAGAGTAAATTAGAGCCACTTATGAAAACTGTATTTGAGTTTAAAGTTAAATAAATAAATAAAGTTTTCTGAGATTAAAGGCAACAACACTGGACGATCATAAGAAAGTTGTGCTTGGATGTTTTTAGGGTACCAACTGTTGCCATGGCTGAGAGCTGCACTGCATTTTGTATTTCTGTTTTAAGGTAAATTAAGTGTGTGAGTGCAATATCTCAGAACTTAAAAACCTGGGTAAAAAAAACATCAACATGACTGTAACCATTGGTAACCATTATCAGAATAAAAGGCCTACTTTTCCGTGCAGGTAAAACATTTTGTTTGGTGTGTGAGTTTTGTATTTGTGACTATATAGTGTTAGACTTCGACTTCTCTTTATTGATCCTTTTGGGATGACTCCCGCAAGGAAATTGAATTTGCAGCAGCTTACAAAACAGTGTAGAAAAATAAAGAGGTATAAAAAAATACAGTACAAGATAAACAATAAACTCTTTGGTAGATATAGAAAGTAGACAATAGCACTATTGTTGCTGTCCTCTGAGTTACATTCAAGTTTCATATTGATTCATTTTGATGGAACAAACTTCCTATTTCTCACATGCATACACTCAGCTTCCAGTTTAGTAGGTGAGTAGTACTTAGTTCAAACTAATGCAGTCTAACACGACAGTCCTGATACATCCTACAGAGTAAGTTTTTATTGTATAACTGTTTAAGAGATGTTGTTTTTTTTTATTTTGTTCAGCTCATTTAGAGTGGACTAAAAGACAGAAACATCTCTCCGTAAACATCAATACAACAACATCACAAACTGCAGCCTCCAAACTGACCACAAAGTTTAATCTAAACCTTTCTAGCTAATAAACTGGTGTATTTTTATTTTTTTTAAATCCACAGTTCCCGTTTATAATTTTAATAGACCTTTTCATTGAAGATACTTTGACACGTCATTGTAGGTAAAGCACTGTTGTTAAAATCCGCTCGGTAGTCTAAACCGACTTTACTACAGCTGGATCCTGCTGATAATGCTGCTGGTCGACTTTTGTTTCTCATCTAAAAAAGAATAATAACTGTTCTTTATTTAAAAAAGAAATGGTCTCTGTTGTTGAATGTAGTTTATTACTGGAACAACATCTGTTCAGACCTGGACTGGAAACAAATATGGAGTCTATTTAAGGTCAAAGAAGTGACTTTTAAAAATAATTCATAATTTTTATATATTTTAAGTTAATTTTACAAAGATATATATATACAAAAAAAAAAAAAAAGGACACTAAGGTAACATTCTCATCTTGTCAATTGGCTCCAAAAGATTTATGTAATTTATTTTGGTCTCTATTTTTGTTCTTCTTGGAGAGATATTTGTGCTTTTATTTCCCAATATATTGATTCTGAATTAACCCTTTCATATGAAAATGTATTGTTTGACTTCTTTTCTTATTCTCCTACCAAAACAATTAATATAATAAAATTTAAGATAGCCTCATGGTGGTTTAGAAAAGTCATCTGTGACTTGCGTTACCATCTTATCATCCTGGAAAGACGATCACAATGGAAATTAATTATTTTTCTAACTTTATTTGTGTTATCCTCGACACGTATGCATGCAATGTTTGACAATGTATAGTTGAAAAGTCAAATAAATCAAATCAACATGATCCCACTTCTTGCAAAAAATATTCATAAATCAACATTTTGCAATCATGAAATATCTTTTTTTTAAAATCTTTTTTATTTAATTGTTTGAAAATAAAATCATAAATCAAGAAATACAACCTCAAATTAATTGATTTACCCCATACAACATTTTTGTTTACTAATATACTATATATATATATGATGTTTACCTGCTGTTAGTTAATAAAATAAATAAATAAATAAATAAAAGAAACCGGAAACAGCGAAACCACGTGGCTCCAGCTCTGTTTCCCGCCTGTATTCGTAATGACTGATCTAGTTCCCGGAAACAGCCGCAGAGTGACAGCTCTCTCTTATAAAACTCACGCTTTGGGCTGCGTGCAGATAAAGTTCCTGCCTGTGGAGAAGCAGACACTTTTCCTGACCCCGACTCTGGATTATAAACTGAAGTTTGGTGCAGGAGAAGATTTTATATTCCCGGGTTTGGATCCGAAACATCCCGAGTCGTCGCCGTCTGTTCAGCATTGGAAAGATCCTCAGTGTGGGAAGACAGGTAGCCTCACTAATGACAGTCATAGCATGGCATTAATGTTATTATTATTATTATTATTATTATTATTATTATTATTATTATTAATTATAGAGGAGGGGGGGTGTCCACTTTTTAACAGCAAATTAACTCCCTGCAGAGTGATGCTGCATTAGCACACATACATTATGTTAAAGGAGGTTTTCAACTGTTTATTATTATTATTATTATTATTATTATTGTTATTATTATTATTATTATTATTTTACTCAATATTAACATCCACATTAGTGTGATTAATTAATAAAAAAAAAAGTCCAGGCCATCCTCAGGGAGTCTGTTTACCTCACAGGACATCACTAAGTCTGTTCTTCTTTAATTAAAGTAACTTTAATAAAAAATATGTACTTAACTGCATCCTGGCAGTAATTCATTAAACAGATAATCTGATCTATCCGGATCCTTCTAGTGCTCCTAATGGTATTTATAAGAAGTCAGCCTTCAACCAATCAGAGCTGAGAAAGATTACTAATTGTTATTATGAGTCTCGTTTCCCAGCAGCCGTATTTTGACGACCTTTCACAGATTATCTGTCTCACGTACTACTGTCAGGATAAAGTGAAAGTTTCAGCAAATATGAGAAGTTATTTCCATTAAATTTACCTACTGCACCTTTTTAAATGCTTAACTTGGTTGTTTGAGATTCCCTGTGCATGTTCAGAGTTTCACATCAGGACATTTAGCTGCTGAAGGGGGAAGGAAGCTCTTTTGTGACAACTCAGCTAGTTTGTTAGTTATTATCCAAAATGCAACTCACACAAGTGTGACGTTAAAACTTAATAATGTGTGTTTTCTGTAAAAAAAAAAAAAGACATCAACTCCTTCTTGCTCATTAAACCTTTCAGAATCTATGAATATACACGTTTTGATCATTTCTAAAGTTTCCCTGTTGGACACAAACTGTCTCCTACTCCTTACTAAAGTCCATTCTCAGTGTTTGTGCACTGGTGGCTTCAAGTTTCTACATCACACTTGTATTTTATCTATTTATGATGTCACAAATTGTGCTCGTAGGCCCCGCCCCCTTTAAAAATCTGATATTCAGTGAGCTCAGAGAAACTCTCCACTTTCAGCACGTTTAATGTGAAAACATCCTTCTAGTGTCAGACACCATTCAAACATCACACTGTAGCAACAAGAAGAGAAAGATTGTTGACTGAAGGGCAACTTTAAAGCCTCCAGGACATCTTGTGTTGTATTCTATCTCAATAAGATAGAAAGGGTTAGATACTATTCTAAAACAAACCATATTAGACACCATTTATTATTCTAATTTAGAGTATTTTATGTTTAAAATATGTCTGTAGAGGATCTTTGATATGAATGGATCCAGTAATGTTTGTATTCAATACATGAATCTGCACATATAGTAAAGTTATGGTCTTTTTAAATGAATAGTTTGATCTGATCATGAGATTTCTTACTCAGTCTTATCTGCACATTGAACACAATGTATTTTATAATTGTGTGTGTGTGTGTGTGTGTGTGTGTGTGTTTGTGTGTGTGTGTGTGTGTGTGTGTGTGTGTGTGTGTGTGTGTGTGTGTGTGTGTGTGTCTCACATGTAATGACAGTTAACTTCCAGCAGGTGTCAGTGTAGCCTCACTGTAAGTGACAGACTGACACAACCACATATAGTTACACTCACTGTTTGATGTAATGTGTCCTCAACAACTTACATATGGCCCTTTTTATAAGTGTGACCTTTAACTAAAACTGACTCACTGATTAATGAATTAGTTGATCGACAACTAAAAACCAATTTTTTTTAAAATTTAGATAATTAGTTTATCGTTAAAGTCATCAGTTATCAAGAAAAAATGTCAAACATTTACTTAAATGTTAAGATTTGTGTGTTTTGCCTCTTTTATACCATTAAAAACTAAATAACGTATTACTATATATATATATTTTTATATTTAGTATAAGGAAAATACCTTAACATTAGTTTTGATAGGTATAAAGTGTTTATTATGGACGTACTTTAGGTAAGTATCTACAAGTACAACCTTTTTAAAAATCACACTTTTATCAATAGTCAAAGTCTGGATTTCTGAAAAACACTGAATATATTATATTGTGTATATTAAATGTTGTCCGTATGAATGTTTTCACTCCATATCTGTGTGTATCTTTGATATTCAACTTCTTCTGAGTTCATAGATATCAAATATTGATTGTGCCCCTTGTAGTTTCTTCTCTTACATTTATGTGTGCAACTTTTATTCATATGGAATATATAGATAGAAGCCCAATAAGTAAAAAAATCCCTCCATTTTTAATACTTAT